CAGAGGCTGGGATCTGACTGGCTGGAGTTGGGTGTCTCACACAAAAGCTGCCAGACCCCCGCAGACCTCCCCATCTTCCCAGGTAATTGGAGACACCAGAAGCACGTGACATCCGAAACAATTGATACTGGTATGCCATTAATTTCTGGGCCATATTTTTTGCCAGTTCTTTCAGGGTAGCTTGAACTTTCGCCATCGTCACCATAGGCTCGTGATAATACGTTGTTGTTTTTTTTCTATGAAATTCTTCTGTGTCAGCCAATTCTTTTTGGTACAGTGGCTCTGTGCACTCTTTCTACCTTCTTTTGATGCTCCCTGGATCATTCAACATTCTGTCCAAAGCATGCTCAAGCATTTCAACTTGAGGCATGAATTAATTTTCAGTTCCTCAGCTTAAGAAATGCTGAATTTTTGATTCTCCAACTTCAGTTCTTTGCATGCTTCACTATAATATTTGGCTTTGTTTTCCCAAGCTGCTCTTTGAAATCTTCTGTTTAGCTCCTAATTATCTTGATGCTCTAGTACAATATTCAGTCTCTTCTGACATCCATTTTGGCCACTCCTTCTTCCTCCATCTTTGTAATGATCTTCTGCATTCTTTATAATATTCCTGAGATCCTCCACACCTCGTCTGGTCTTTGCTCATTAGTATTTTAAAGCTTTAAACTGTATGCACATGGATATGATTCTGTCACTCACAACACTGGATTTCAAGATGGATCTAGAAACGGCTAACAATGAAAGTGATGCCATTTTTCTCGCCTTTTCATTTCCAACATTGTTGTTGTTGTTATGTGCCCTCGAGTCACTTGCAACTCATAGCAACCCTAAACTCTGCTCTGTCCTGTGCCAATCGCACTGTCTCTGACACTCTCATCCAGATTATTCCAATCACTGAATCAATCCACCTCATAAAGGGCCTTACCCTCCTGCGCTGTCCTTCCACCCTCCCAAGCATGATGTCCTTCTCCAAAGACTGGTCTCTCCTCACAATATGTCCAAAGTATGTTAGACGGAGCCTCAGAATCCTTGCCTCCAAGGAGCCACCCGGTTTAACCCTCTCCAGGGCAAATCT